ATACAAAATTTTATTGAAATATTTTTCATCGTATAATTATATAAAATTGTTGTATAATGGTTTTATAGTATCGTATAATTGTGTAATGATTTCATCATAAGATTTTAATTTTTTTCTGTAAAAAATCATTAATTGTATGATACTTTTTATAGTATGGTATAATTGTATAATGGTTTTATCATATAACATGTTCAAGGTTTAACATTGAAACCGTTGAGTGACACTAGATAGGAGAGTAAGATAGAGTTAAGATTTCATTTGGGAGATGTATACAACGCCCTGCTAAGCATTTACGAAAATTATGAAATCGATAATTTAATAAGAGACGAGGCCTCGGGTTTATTAAATTGTATTAAACGATTTAAGTTCTTGTGTTAATTAGTTATTTGGCATAAAATATTAAATTTCATTAATCCAATAAAGCGAGTTGATGCAAACAAAAGATTTTGATCTAGCCTTTGCACTTGTTTTTTTTACAAAACTGCAAAATTTTTTTTAAAAATCTTCGATCGGATTCTTCCTTCGATGAAACTATTATTGATGCAAAAGCGCTTGCAACTCCCTCATACACATAACTCTAGATTTTCCCTGCTCCGCCAAATGGCGTTTATTGAGAAGTTATTGAGCATTTATCTGTCATTATACAGATCCAAGTATTTTAATTGAAAATATTAGACATACTATTTATAAAATTTTGACTAATGATGATTTAATTTCGAGGATGAAATTTTTATTAAATCTAAAGATAAAATTTATAAAATATTCAGAAAATGAAACTATTACGTATCAGGATGTGTTTTTCTCCAGTCGAGTAGAACATATTTTATCTCGGTATATGATCGATGAAAGGTTAACAAATGCTTTTGATACAATTTTAAACTTCATTGATCAGTTTATAAAAAACGGATCAGGGTGGATAATTAAGGAAATTATATTTTTAGATATTCATTTAGGAATTTATAAGGCTGAGAGTGGTGGATGTGGTAATATCATCCTACCAAAACATTTAATTAATAAGCGTTGTTTGTTGAATATTAAATGTAGTGATAATCAATGTTTTTTATACTGCGTAATTGCTAGTTTGTATCCAAATACTAACAAC